GCATATGCATATATTTTATAAACAAGAATTTGAAATTCTTGGTGTCCTCTTCTAATGATAAGACAGAAGATTGCTTTTCATAATCCAATCATCAGATAGATTTACCTTAAAATTTAAAACAAATTTATCTAAATTAAATTTTAAGAAAACATATCTATTGTTGTTTTACTTAAAAAGTAACCTAAAAGAAGAACAGATTCTCAGTAAATTTGCAAGTTAGTAAATGAGGATTTTTTTCATGTGTGCACTTGAAAAACTACCATCTCATTTCTTCTTTATACTTGCTAGTACAGGATCAGATATTCTACAGCATTTAAGGTTGAGAAAAAATATGTTATGCAGTAATATGAAGAATACCACTTTTCATATTCCTTTTAGGAAGAGTCATTTGAAAGCCCAGGCATTGCTACATTATAATTTTATACAATCAACAAAGGGGGGAAAAAACCTTAGAAAGTATAATGATTACTGGCAAAAAAAGTTTTCTTCCAGATTTCATTAAAAAATTCTACTATCATCAGGCTGCAAATAGAACTCCACATTCTGATTTGTGTTTGCAGTGCATGTGTGCGTGTGTCTGTGACACCCATGATCCCTCTTTCCTTTAACATTTTCTTTCTTTGGCTTTATCTGAGACATGAAAGATTTCATATCAAAACATCTCCTTAAGTTATAAAGTAATCTATGGCTAAAAGTAGAAATGTACATATAGGAAATTTCTCAATAATTTGTACTTCTATTACATTTCTTTACATATTTCTATTTTTAGGAGTATGGGATGCTTAAATTAGCTCATTTGTTTGGCTTTCTCTTATATTGTACAAAATCATTTGTTGAGGTTGAGCTTTTATGTTTTGAGTATTGAATATGCTTGTCTCTCAGTTATGAGAAGAGATGAAGATGTACAACTAGTTAGAAATAAAAGATAGCCATTCTAAAGTTCATTTGTGTTTCAAATGACTACAGGTAAGAATAATTACAAAAACATTTAAGTCGGGCATGGTGGTGCATCCCTGTAATCCCAGCACTTAGAAGGCTGAGGCAGGAGGATCGCTGTGTATTCGAGGCCAGCCTGGGCTACATAGTGAGTTCAGGGCCAGCCTGAACTACAAAGGGAGACCCTGCCTCAAAAAACAAACAAACAAACAAAAAGCCAAAAATAACAAAAAAGCCCCATTTAATCAGATTCAGAAACACACAGAAACAGGCATTTGTACCCTTGCATTGAGTCTTCTAATTTGAGTTCATTATAATCATTTTAGTATTCAATATAAATTTAAGTTGAGATACTTATTATAGTTCCAAAATATAGGTGATGAGGCAAATGCCTTGAATTTATTTCAGAAGCCTATGTAATTGGTAAGTCAATGTTTGGTAGTAAATAATTGCATCAAAATCTAATTAAAATCTCAATATCTCTGCCAATGAACTGAATTCTAGTTGTTAGTCAAATAAAGTGACATGATGTTGGACTTTTATGCTCTTTTGAAGCTCTGTGTCTCACAATTTGTTGTTTCTAGTTCTTCTAATCAGTCCTAGATTTATTTTTCTCATGAGTTGGCTCTTGCACATTTGGATGAATAAATGCATCTCATTTTAACAGTGGAGCTGTTTGTTAATAAACACATGCCTCTTTTTCATAAGGACAGTGTGATTTTATATTAGAATTGCATGATTTGCAGTGCCAGTTTGGAAGAAAACAAAAATGAGTGTTTTTATCTTTCTATATGGCAATTTGGAGGTTTTCTTATTTTATAATATATTTTAATAGTTTTATAAAATTATAATTCATCTTATCAAAATTTTATAATTTGTTATCAAAATTTGACAGCCATAAGCCATATGTAAGGTTGATTCTTTTGTACATGTACCATTAATTCTATTAAAGAGGATTTTAATTTTTCATGTAAAAGTTTTGACTGTAACAATAACACTTAAAATGAATTACACATTTACTATTTGAAAAGTAGAAAGGCAAAGATTGAAGTGGATGGTAAAGAGATATTATTAATAGGCCAGTGTTATTTTGGAACATAAAACAAGCAAATGATGAAACCCAAAGAGGAAGTTTTATTGCAAGTAGTTATATTCCAAGTACCATTTTATAAGGTACATTAAATTTTCTACAGTTCTGTATAAATCAAAAGTCTGTGCTTACACCTTTATTGAAGCTTTCTATTTTATTAGGAACAAATAAAAACTATCAATGACCTATGTAAAAATTTTGGAATTCTTTATTAGGATGGGAAAATCCAAGAATATTTTTAATTGTACCATATTAATTTGGGATACTGAATTATGCATCTGTTTTTGCCAATCTGGACCTCTGTTTACTTTATTTTGCTTATGATGTTAAATTCCAATAGGAATTTGCTGTGAATCTCTGAAATTTTTGTCTGCAAGAATTTAGGAGGATAAAAACAATTACGAAGTTAGAAAAGACAACAAAGGATGGGATTTGTAGTTATTGGCATTAATTCCAAAACATTTCTATTCTGTTATCATTAGCCCCCAGGTCTTGGACCCTGGGCCACTAAAATGCTTCAGGCTTCCGTAATTTTGAAAGTCCTGACAGGCTTTGTTCCAAAAGGGGAGCAAGTGCACGGTGGTGGACACTTTAACACATGATTTTCTCTGTTGCTGAACATTCACTCCATGTACATGCTGTACTGCTGTGGGATTGTAGAAAGAATCTTTTTCTGTCAGGACAGAAATATGTTTCTTAACCAGGCTCCATTTTATTTTACTTTCCTTATAGTCAATGAGGAAGCAGCTGTTAGCAGCATACTTTTCAATATAAGAAAAAAAAATTGAAGAAAGAAAGTGGGAAGTATAATTGTCTTTGATAAAGAACTTGCATCCACTAGAGCATGGATTTAACTGGCCTCCTGCTGTGCCCTCATCATTTTCTTTAATTTCTATTTTAACTTAAAAGAAGCAATAGCATCAATGTTTCTGCACAATAGAACTCTATCACAGCAATACTTTGTTTAATTTAAAGTTTTATATTATCTAAATTAGGAAAATCCAGATTCATTATTTTTTCAGAGTTAAAGTTTTCTCAACAGAAAACATGGTTAACACAATTACCTAATGGATTGGTACACAGAAAGTGACTAGTAAATTCCTGTTGTATACCTAAGACCCAATGAAGTCAGCAGTCATAATTGTTTTTACCTTTTCATAGTTGTTATAATCAGTATTTACTGCTTACTATGAATCTGTTGAAGAAATTGTGTATTGAAAAGTGTGCATTAGAATTTTACTTCTTTGGTTTGCATGTTGGTTTTTTACCATGTTGCTTGGGAATAAAAGTGTTCTAAGCTCAGACTGAGTCCTATGCAAAATTGTCATGGAAGTGACATATTTACTTTTTTTTTATATTCAAAAATTCAGTTTTCCTCTTATTCTTACAGTAAGTGGGAGCTGACATCTGTAACTTACGGGGAAGTAAATACTTTTGTTTTCTACCTCCTAGCTGAACAAAAACACACATAATGTTTTCTTTAGACAATACTTGGTTGTTTTCTGGTTTTTTTTTTTTTTTTTTTGCACTGGGGATCGAACTCGGGTCCTTGTGCTTGCAAGGCAGGCAGCGTAACCACTGGGCTAAATCCCTGGCCCCAAGACTTGGTTTTTATATTTCAATGAGAATAACATATAACACTGCCTTAAACAAAATGACCAGAGTATAATGAAACCATCTTTGGAGGAAATGTTTAATATGCATATTTTATTTAAATAAATCCTCCAATAAGAAATGGAGAATTCATTGCCTTTACTTTGAAGGCTTTGTAGTTATCTGTCAAATTTATATGTGCAGCTCACCAACATTCCCTTATTGGAAATAGCAGTATTTCCACATAATAGTTCTCAAAAGGACTTAAAAGTCTCAAAATTCTGTGTCTCCTTTGGCTTGCTTCTCTCTTGATTCCACCCAGGCTTTATTAACGGTTCGCTTCATATCATCATCTCCATCTTCATAAATTTTCTTTAGAACATTTATTAATCCCTCACTAGGATCTGTTTCAGCATCGTAGGATGGCTTTTCTTTTCTTTGCATTCTTTTTTCAACCTGAGTAAAGTATTCCCATCGTGTGTTTTCTGCTTTCTGTCTACCTAAGATAAGAACTGTATCAGTCTTGATTTTGGGGGGGGTTTAAGAGATTGCTCACAATCATAGAGTAACTCTTCCCATTTAGATTCTTTACCAAAAGATCAAATGACCTCTCTGTGAAATGCACCTGCACATTCTCAGCAGGAACTTGATGAACTCGTTAAGGTAATACAGATTTTTACAAACTTATCTGACTGATCCCATCCGTAATTACTGATTTTCACAGTATATCCTGTTGTGATGGGAGCAACCACAGCAGCTGGTTTTTCATTGTCAAGAAATTCTGGTTTCTTTTGTGATTTTTGTTGCACCTTTTTTTTTTGGTACCGGGGATCAAACTCGGGTCCTTGCTCTTGCGAGGCAGGCAGCGGAACCACTGAGCTAAATCCCCGGCCCTACACCTTGTTCTTTATTTCTGTTTCAATCTTGAGTTTTGCAGGTGTCAGGGCATCTCGTTTTCTCTTCCTAGTGGCCTTTTCCAACAACATCTTTACCTCTTCTAGATCATTCTGCAACTCCTCCAAAGCTGAAGCCATGGCCGGGCTGGGTCAGACCAGAGGCCAGAGCACCAGGCGTGCACGCAAGGACAGGACCCAGAGCACTCTCCGAGAGCGTGGGGCACAGCAGCGTGGGCCGCGGGACCGGCAGCTGCGCACACACTCCACCTGCGCGAGATCGCCACATATTTACTTTTAAAATGTTTATCTTCTGATATAAAATCTCCTTTCTGATTAATTTAGCAGATTCACTTACCCAATTCAAGATCTATTCAATTTTTGTTCTTCCAAATCCTTTTATCAAGTCTTAGTACCAGTTCCTTATTCTGCTATCTTGGGGTCTTGTTTTCTGTTGTACAGTCAGTCTGAGCTATATCTGAGCAATTTATAGGCACCTACTGAAAACTGATAAGAGGTTAAGATAGCTCTTGGTGTTGTGATTAGAAGCACAAGAAATTAAAACAATTTAAATCTTGGGTCGGGGATTTAGCTCAGTGGCACTGTGCCTGCCTCACAAATGCAAGGTCCTGAGTTCGATACCCAGTACCAAAAAGAAAAAAATTAAATCTAACTTTAAAATGCTGGATTTTCAATTAGAATCATATCCCAGGATGCCTCTGTACTAACTTGTAGCCCTTGTCAGTTCCTCTAGCTTTACTTCCAAGGGTTCCTACAAATGTCTCTCTAGATCTTTGATACTCACTCATTCAAATATCCTTTCAGCCATTCCTGTACTTTGGAATTGACATGGATCACCTAGGCCCACCTTGTTGTTGAGTGCCCTGATTTAAAAAAAAAAAAAGAAAAGCTTTTAAGTTGTGCTGCTCTTTAAGGTATGTCAATGGGGTAATCAGATGAGCTAATTTGGGGTTTGGTGTTAGAATTTACAGCAGCATTTCACTTTTTCTAAGGATATAGTAAGAATTGCAGAGTGGATACTTGGGAAAAGGTTAGAAGGTTTTTTTAGTGTTGTTTGTTTGTTTGTTCGTTTTTTAGCATGATCAACTCACAAACACAAAGCTTCATCTCTCTTTGGTTTTATCTTGTTTCTTATTCTTTCTCAAAATAGGCGGAGGTTCATGTGTGTGGCTCCTGCATCTCTACAATGGTTTTCTATAAAAAGATGATTTTAATGATAGGATGGAAAGACTTTTAGAAGGTATGTGAAGAACAATGTCTTCATACAAGATCTGCTAAAGAGATGCCTCTGGGAAACCAAGGCAGAAAAGTGTCTGTCAATGTGGCAGCAAGGAGAAAATTTGGAAAGAAGTCTAATGAAGTCTGCACAGTGCAATAAGCCTTTCTTATATCTGTGAATTAATTGAAAAAAAACTCACTGCAGTAATTCTCTAGGAAAGAGGAGATGCCTTTTTTATAGGACTCAAAGGAGTCATCTATTTGATATCAAGAACCCTTTTTATTTGTTTGAGCAGTGTTACTGGAAGACATTACCATAACTCCCCAGAGGCTATTTCCAAGCCAACGTTGTCACTAAATTGAAGGAGCAGGGAGGTGTGTTGAAACTTTTTAATGCACAATTGACACCTCAGTGAATCAAGGCTGTAAATGAAAAGAATTAACAAGGAAATATAGAGACTACCCACCCTTAGTTTCAATACTAAATGATTTCTTTGTATTTTTCCTACTTGTAATAAACACTTAACACAGCCCTTTTTTTTAAATCCCCTCCAGGATATTGAAGGGAAACCATCAATAATTCATGTTTTAAAAATGAACAAAACAAAGGGGAATTGGAAGTGGGAGGGGTAGGGGAAAGGAAAGAAAGGAATGGGATTAATATGAGAAAATGAAAAAAATGGAAATAAAGTCTTTGTAAATAGGGAGGGATGGAGGGGTTGAAGGGAGGGCAGGGGGAGGGGGGAAAATAAGAACCAAGAAATTATGTAAAGGTGCAGATTTCCAATGATGAATGTCATTATATTGTATAACTAAAATGTACCAGTAAAATTGATTAAAAAAAAGAAAAAAAGCCTATGAATGTGTATATATAGATACATATATATGTATGAATACATATATATTCATACATACATACATAGGCTTTAAAAAATTATATCTATAATTTTTATAAGTGTACACATAGCTAGACAAATATATCATGCTGTTTTGCTAGAAGAAAAATAAATTCTTTGAGAATTTAATTGATTTCTGTTCAAAGCTATTATCTCAGAGTTTCTCCCTGCTTGATCCAAATAGATGTGGCTATGAAGTATATAATATCCAGCAACTGCTCTTACTTAAATGTCATTAATTTTTCTGTTAAGGTTTGTTCCTAATTTCTCAGTTTTGGGCAGACAGCTATTGCCTCCACTAGTTTAGACTAGTTAAGTGTTGAGTTCTTTGAATTTGTATGTGTCACGGGGTTCTCCCACATATTACTGGATAGTCCCACCCTAGCTTTTGGAAAGAAATAAAGTCTAAAAAAAAAGGGCAGCAGTCAACCACGTTGTCCTGTTCAAGCATGCACATGTTTTATTTAAGTATTCTCCAAAGGTCTATTTTTCCAGCATAATGCAGATATTATGCTATCCTTTGAAATAAGATATATGAGTCTCAAACAAAATTGTCAAAAACAATGACCTTAGTTACTCCATATGATACACAGAACTAATCACATTTCACTTACAATACAGATGCACTTAACACAGTCATCAATAGTCATTCATCACCAACACAGTATATTTTAATATCATTTAAAACATCAAAAAGATTTTTTTTCAAAAAGTCTAAAGAAATTAATGATAATTTTGAATAAGTGGTAAATTGAAAGAGGAGGCAGAATTGTCAACCAAAAAAACCAAACTGCATTTTCTTTTATGTGATATTAACACTGTGAAAATAAATCTTCTCATTGGGAATCAAAGGATGTCTAGTATTCCTGATTGTAGTTTTCTTAATCTACTTTTAAAAAAGGTTTTCAATAAATGCCATCAAAAAAGTTTTACTATATATTTGCTCTAGAAGCATAAAGTGACAAGAGGCAGGTGTTATTATGCTTATGAATACACTGCTGGAAGATTAGTAACTTTTTAAAAGACAAACTAGGATTAAAGCCAGTTCTTCCCAAGAGAAAGTTGAGTTTATCTTACTTTCAGCAAATGTTTATTAATATCTACTGTGTGCATAGCACTGTTCTAGAATCTATTCTAGAAATGGGAAGCAAGAATTTCTGGCTTTACTTGAAAATGGTTGGATTAATTCATTTTATGATGTTATAATTATTTTTAAATCTCTATATAGAGGGATAATTATTAACTCTTTCCAAGTATAGAAATTAAGCTTTATTCTTTACAGTGGTGGCTTAGAATGAACAAAACTTTTCATTTGACATAAAACTTGTTTTACACTGTGCAGACATGTCTGCTGATATATTTTAAAGGTGAAAAAGTATAAAGACTTTTCACTTAAATGTACACAGGAATCAACTTTGCATCATCAAACTCTTGTCCTCCCCCATTTAGGGGAGAAGATTGCACCTTTAAATATACAGGAACTTTTCTGAGATAAACTGGTGCTACCTTCCTGAATGACATAAAAGACATGCTTTCATCAAACATTGCTACCTAAAATACTCCGGTTTATCTCTGCATTTCAATTCACATTAGTTATTCTCAAAATGTATTCAAGGTCTAGAGCAAAATAAATAATACATCAAGTAAGATTCTGAGATCATTGATCCTGTGGTTTTAGTCCCAGTACACTCTTTTCAAAAAACACGCACTGATATATCCAGTATCTGGGCATTTCCATAAACAGCAAAGACGTTAGAGATAATTGATAAATGTCAACTCCTTTTCTCTAGTTTTTGACCAGGGGATTGATGATAATCTACTTACAAGATAATATGTTGGTGAATACAAAAGTAGGAAAGTCACTTGAACTACAGCAAACATTAGTCCTTTTGATGATAAACCCAATAGAAAGGAGCTATAGAAATACAGGAATGAATAATGCACTGGGTCCCAGGATTACAGTGGCCCAAAGAATACTACTAAAAAACATTTATGACACAATAGTTTTGGACTAAAACATCACCTGAAACCAGGCCACATCAAAGATTTTTTCTATGAATGTGGCTCTTATTGTATCTATGAGGATCTGGAAAGTACAACAACAAAAGAATTCTGATTCTTGATACAATAGGTGTACAATGAATTATTGCAGTCGTAACATTAACTAGGTGCAAGGTTAAACAATAATTAATACTGAACTATCTGAACACCTTAGATTTACTAATGAGCATCCCCATGAGAAATACTGCAGTCCTAAAAGGAGTTTATTTGCACAGCCCACCATGAAACATGAACAATCAGCTTGTTGTAAGTGCACAGAAATTTCTCCTTTCTACAATTGTATTTTATCATGCCTATTCTGAAGACAACATAAGGAAACTGAGATCACTGCTCCAAAGAATTCTAGCATGCATTATGATGGTTTCCTTTAGTTAATACAAATGTGTCGTATGAGTTTTTTTCATATGTAATAATCTTCATCATAGCCAATGTTCATGGTTTTAACAGGAAAAATTTTTATCAAAATGTTTCCATATTTTTTTGTTTTGCATTCAACTGGAACATTATGTTCAAAGATTTATTTTATTTGTTTTATTAAAAAAGAGTTCTGATTATAAGAAGCATCAGTAGGTGGCATTTCATTGTGCTCATTCACAAAGTCAAAGGGCCACATAATAATATTCTTCTGTATAACAGCTTAAACTGTCTAGAAATGCCATTTGTTGGTTTTTATTCACATCGTCAAGTTTAGAAGCTGTATTTTTGTTTCACTACCAACCTTCTTGTTCTGCTGTCTTAATCTGCAAAAGGTTATTGATTCTTCTTTCTTTCCACATTGAGATTCTTTCCATAGCCGGGGCTTAATTTTTCTTAGGCCTATTCCAATTGTCTTACAAAGCAGACACTCTGACAATATTTCCTCCCGAGTACTCAGGAGATTCCGGCCTGTCGTCTCCTTCTGGTGTGGTCACTGGAGGTGTTGGGATGCTTATTATTGCTGTAGTCACATAAGGTTGTTCACAGTTTAGTTTAACACACTCTTCAATTTTGGCATTTAAGCTGGATCGGCTGATGGGAAAAAAAAAGTTGTAAGAAAGGAAGTTGTTTACCTAAAACATTTTTATGTAACTGAAGAAAGTATTATTTGAATACTTACAAATCTTACAAATAACACTTACATGCTTAATAAAAATTACCATATAAAAATGCATGTTATCTTTAATGCTATTCAGTTTATTAACAATACATACAATTCTAAAAATAAGCTTGATTTAATTCGCTCATTTTGTTTCTTGAAAAAAATTTGTGTACTTGCAAGAGAGGAAGGGATCTGGTAAGATGTGAACAGCTGAGTTGAGCAAAGTAAAATAGTCATCTTTTTTTTTTTTTGTACTCGGAATCAAACTCGGGACCTTGCACTTGTGAGGCAGGCGGTGAAACCACTGAGCTAAATTCCCAGCCCAGTCATCTTTAAGATAGGGACTTTGACAGGTTTGAGCACCATTATGAAAGGGGTTGTACCATGTGGACTTTTCAACCTTTGCTCACGGAATCTTTTCATTATCATATTGTGTTTTGGAAACAGAATGCCCTTAATGCTCTCAAATTAATGATGGTAGCACATTAAGAACCCAAAAAAGTTAGTTATTACTGTTTAATAGTTCAAAGTTTTTCCAAGGGGTATCAACACAGCTGTCATCCTCTGTGGAGGAGAAGCAGGGAGCCTGAGCCAGAAGGGTATAAACAGAAGATTAAAACTATCTTCATGGAAAACAATTAAAATGTTTTGCTTGAAGATTTTCTTCCTTAAGACTTCTCCATTTCATTTTGTAATGGACATAGAGCAGAGCAAAAGTGAAATGTCTTAAGGACAGAAATTTTCATTGCTTTAAATTTTAACATTGTGATCATAAACACATCCAATCTTGTAAATCAACAGAGGCTGAATTTAGGGTCTCATCTGGTTTTCAACAAAAATTGGTGATTGTAATGAAGAAATAAACCTGAATGTGTCTACAGACAGTCAGTCTAAGAATTTGCTCTTAAAAGTAAAGAATGAGGGGCCAGAGATTTAGCTCAGTGGTTCCACTGCCTGCCTTGCAAGCACAAGGTCCCGAGTTTGGTCCCCAGTACCAAAAAAAGAAAGTGTGAAAAGTGCAGAATGAAGTAAATTTTCTGGCAAAAATAGATCTTTGTAATGATTTTTGTAATTTAAATATAATACTTTTATTATACATATTTTCATGGTAAAAGAAAATAGAGAATAATGAAAAGCAAAGGAGAAATATTAATAAAAAGTTTCATATAAATTGTTTATACATTAACCAGAAGGAAACAATTTTAGTATTTAATTTAGCTTATTTTTTTCCATATTAAGCATTGAACCAGGGGCACTCTACCATGGAGTTCCATCTCCAGCCCATTTTATTTTAATTATTTTTTATTTTGAGATAGCATCTCATTATGTTGGCCAGACTGGCCTCAAATTGCAACACTCAGCCTCCCAAGTAGCTGGGATTTCAGGCCTGTGCCACCACACCCAGCTCCATTTATCTTTTTTAATATTTGATTATTTTGTGCTTGATGTTGCCAAAAATACATTTATGATCAAAACTATAGATTGATAAAAGAGATTTGTGTGGGCATAGTTTTCATTGAAGAAGTTGATGTATTTTTAGGTGCTACTTAATAATTTTCAATCTTCTTGATGTGAAATTCATTTGACTTTTTCAGTAGCGTTGACTGTCACTTTAGGTCATTTGAGTGAACATAAGGGGCTCCTGAGTATAGGTCAAATAAGGTTCTTGATCAAATAAAAAAATTATGGAGTTGAAGAGATAAATAATTATTTGTGTGTGCCTGGCCATCCTTTCTTTCTACTCTTAACTCTGATATAACAGCTACTTTTGACCATAGTATATATTTTCCTACTTTTTTGCAGTGTAAGTTTTTTTTTTTTTTCTGGCAGTACTAGGGATTGGACTCAGGGCCTTTGTACTAGCTAGTCTCAATTTTTTCATTTTTGTTTTTGTTTTTGACAGGCTCTTGCTAAATTACCCAGGAGTGGAGGCTTGAGCTCAAAATCCTACTGCCTCAGCCTGCCAGAGAACTAGTAGTATTACAGGGGTGCACAACCATGCCTAGCAGTTTTATCTCTCTGTCCACTCTAGCAGCTGGGACTTGGATGTCACACAGGTGGCAACAAGACCATGAGGCTGTGGCCTGTGAACCGTCACACAACACTGATTGACCCCTGTACCTGTTGGACAGTGGTGTTCTCTCCACACATCTGATCTGAATCGTACTGAGTTCCTGCACACTGCCTCGATGGCTTCCTGATACATTGGCATTTGGGATGCGGAAAGTTTTTTTGTGTCGTCGTGAACAGCAAGTGCTGGTGACTCCTTGTTGTGAGGAGAGAGAGGGACTGTGACTTGAAGGACGGTTCACTGTTGCTACTTCCATGCAGCTTTCTTCAAAGACTTGCTCATCCACAAACTCATGATTCTGTTTAGTAATGGTAAGAAAATGTGAAGGAAGCAGAGAAACACTTTTTTAATTTAAAAAAGGAAATGAATAGCTTTTTTAAAAAATTCATATATGTCTATGTAAAGTTTGACTTGATCTGATAGATAACTAACAAAATTTTCATAGCAATTAGAATATCAGAGCCATCTACACTGGACCCTCAAGTTACAACTGGCCTGACATACAATTTGGTTTTATTCGATTAATGGAATATTTATCTGCTTCTTGTCATCTGTAGTGTGTAGCGAGGTAAACATCTAGATCTCAGCTGCACTGACTCAGTTACAGCCAGCTCTCAGGAATGGATTGATTTCATAAGTAAAGGATCTACTGTACTTTGTCATTTGTGTGGAAATAACATCTCTCTTGTCAGAAATAAAGATTCACATACATAGGCTGATTCTGTCCATTCATAGACTAATTTTATGTTGAAATATCATTTATTAATTTAAGCAGAAAAGGAAGTTATAAACTGAAGGGGAAAACACATTTAAAATGATATAGATAATATTCATAGGAAATTTACAAATTCACATTGACTCATTTTTTAAGTAGATTGAAGTTTTGAAAAAGATACTATTTTAAAGAATATCCCAAGATGGACTGACTGTTGCATATTAGCAAATACCTTCACATGGATTGAAACATTTTTTTAGTTAAAAATGAGATACCTGAGACACTTCTCATTTCTTCGAGTCCTTCCTTAAAATTCCCAGTATATAGAAAAATATGACGCATTATTAAGTAAGATTCATTCATCTGCAAAGAATATCTGTATGTTTGACTCGGGAGGAATTAATGCTGAGCTTTTGTGGCCTTCTTTTTCATCTCTGTGAAACCTCACAGGATGAATCATGATTTCAGTCTGTGTTCATGACTCTTTCACCAGTCTTCCTACCTTCCAGCTTGCAGGCATCACTGCACATACTAGCACCTCATTTTATAGAAGCATTGCATATAGGTGACTTTTAAAATGTTTCATAAGGAACTGCTTCCTAAAATGTCTGTGTAAGAATTTTACCTCAAGAATATGGGGAAAAATATTTTTGGTCTGATCACTAGAGAATGACTTCAATTACTATTTTTCCTTCATGTGAATGAAAAGAGTCTTAAAATAGAAGGTTTACATATACTGAATTTCACTTGACCATCTCTCATTCTAAAGTATTAGTAAAACAATTGAAGCAATTCACTGGATAAGAGGAAATAGATTGTTTAAATTACTCATTTTGTCATTTCTTTGCTGAGAAAAGCATTTTGAAATACATGAAATTTAACATTCTACTGTTTAGAGTCCAGAGAATAATATGGTAAGATAGAATTTCATGTTAAATATTAAAATTTAGAGAAAAATAGTGCACAAAAGTTTCATGATCTATCTCTTCTTACAAGGCAAAATTCACACACATAATCCAAGTTATAATATATGAGATATATATGAGATTCTAATTTATCTTGTTAGTGATTGGAATTAAAGAATTAATTGTTATTGGTGACATATATTTGTAAGTAGTACAATTTAAAGTATATTTGTTGGTGTTAAAATATTTGATTAAAAAAACTTAAGTGATAAAATAGTGATAAAGAAAAATAAAAGTAAAAGAGAAAGATAAATGCATTCTATCATTAATGAAATTATTTAACTTTCTAAGTATTATCCTAACAGATTATAGACCTATCTATATCTTTATTTAAAAAAGCAAAGCGCAAGATCCCAAGTTTGATCCCCCGGTACCAAAAAAAAAAAGCAAATATAATCATGCAACTACCCCGTTAAAATACTTCAATATTTTCTATTTAGCATGAGATAAACATCACAATTGTTCATGTACCTCCAGAACCCAACATTGTCTGGCCACTGCCTTTCCTTCTGCCTTCTCTGATGCCATACTGGAACTGTTCCTTCTGGTTATCCTCACATTCTTCCCCTTAGGCTAAGTTCCTGCCTTCTTGAGCTATTCACATCACCTTTCAGCTTCTGCATTTCTTTGCCTAACTAACTCTCTCTTAGTCTCAAATTCTTTCAGGAAGCCCTGCCTCAGCCTGTCCCTCTGTGGCACCATCCTCTTTGCTCCACTCTGCTGTGGCCCCATCATCGCTTCCTCTGGTCACTGCTTTCTCAAGTAACAGCTATGTTTCCTGTTTATCTCATAAATGGAAGATCAGTGGGGACAGAAACCATACTGCTTCTGTTGTTCATACTGGATCTGGCTCACTATTGGTCACATAGTAGGCACATAAGCAATAGGTACAGTATTTGTTGAATGACAATATGGACAAATTGACAGTAAATACATTGGAATCAAGCATGCCTACAATGTGTCTCTGGTGAGTGAATGAGCTCACTTGACTCAAACATACTGAAAGTTTTGTTCTGCTCTGATCCTAGCCTGTGATTCTCGCTGAGCATCCAGGGAAGGGATGGCTGCCTTTGCTATGGAGGGTTCCCACTGAGAGCTTGCAAGTGAAGACATGCAGCCTCACTCCTCACCACCCAGGGGTAGACTTGTGATTAAATGTGCTACTTAAAAAATATGAAAACTGTTTTTATCTCTGCCTTAATTCATTACATCTGTGAAGGAAAAAAATGTTTACATTCTGCTTCCCCTTTTTTTGTTATTGCTGTTTATAGTCTATTCAGATGTCAGGAATACTTGAAACTTCATCCTTTTTCTTTTTAATTAGCATTTTTAAAAGAAAGAAGAAATGATTTTTTATTGGACTAGCTATCAGAAGACAACTTTGCATTTGCATTTAACTAGGTTCTTAGACTAGAGATGTGATACCAACCACTAAGGATAAAGCATCTTAGGTCCCTAAAATAATTTCCAAGCTGAAATGTCACTGTAGTCTTCCAAAGTAACTTTAAATACGTGAGCTTTCTGTTTGTCTTTTAGCATATTTTCCAGTAATGCTGAGAGTGAAATCATGCTTGGAAGCATTACATATGCCCCGAAGCAAATGGGATTACTGTGTAGAGGCAGACAGTCATGCTGTCTCCTTACCGTGGTTTTCTCCAGGCAGTGAAGCAGGTGGTGGTGCTGGGTTTCAAAGCTGGAGCCGGATTTGCTAACAAAGGCCTGCTCCTCCTCTGAGGACTGTTAACAAAGAGAAGACAGAAGTGGTTTGGTTTTTTTTTGCAAACTATCTTAACCTCAGCTACACATTTGCAGAGAGAGATCTGGCCTATATTCTGAGATTCACTGGCAGCATTTTATTTATTTTTTAACCAAAAGGGGACAAATGTGTAGTTGCTTTTAAATTGGATGTGCATTTTATCAAATTATTGGTATAGTATTTTATAATATGCCTCCCTGAATTGAAAATGTAAATCTCTTTTACTCATTCAATGACTACTTTTGTAAACCTGGAAGCCTTGCCTTTGGATAATAAATTTATCTTGGTAGGTAGATAATCCCGAATCCATTACTGAAACAGTTACAAAATGAGCTCTTGGTCTCACAAAGTCAAAGAATGAAGTTGTGAGCCAAAAGGTGGAAGTTAGGAGAGTTTTTATTAGAAATAAGAAATAAAAAGCTGGAGGTGGATCTCCATCCCAAGGGGATTCAGAACTGAAGTCCAAGTTGCTTTCTTTGTCCTGCCCATATATGAATTTGCAGAGATCAGGAAGTGGCTCACAGAAACTGATTTCAAAAAAAACTGGTTAAATTGCATTTCTAAAGGAGGTAGAGAGGAGCTGTTAAATAACTTAGAGTACTCTGGCTAAGAGCCTTCTTTCTGGGCTGTAAACTAGCTTAGTGAACTCTGGATATCTTTTGTTCTTACGTTTTCTTTTACTTTTCTAGCTGATTGAATTAGTAGGCTATTTTCTTTCCTGAGACCCTGATTGCCTAGTATTCATAACTAAACTAAACTACAGCACTATCAGGCTACCTACATGAAAGCCATTCTGTAAGGAAAGATGATTGAAATCTTAAATATTAAAAGAAAGTTTTGAGGTAAAAGTTTCTCATGTTTTTCAGACCATGAACTGAATGAATGAATAGTGTTTTCTCTCTGTTAAGAAGTAAACGAGATGTTATACCACTCCCTACCCTGTCTCTCATCCAACTGAACTTTAAGGAACATAAATAATTTTGAAATAAAAAGAATTAGGCATTTGGATTCTTGAGTATTTTTTACGTCTCTGATATTAATGAGATAGTACAAAGATATTATTGCCTGATTACAAATAGGGATCATGGTTCACTGACAATATTGCAGAATACAGTTGCTAACCTGCTATAGCCAACTGGAATGTGTAGGAGGAAGTTATAAAAAGTGACACTTCTGTTGTTTCACTAGCCATTTTCATAATTACCCACAATAAAATTATATCATTAAGTAGAACTAAATCAATAGAACATCAATAAATTGATCATTAAAAACAGCGAAATGCTTGACTTTACCTGCAGCTGGTTGCTGAGTAAACCATTCCGTTTGCTCTGCATGTAAGCGTTTGCACTTCCACTTTTGGCTGCCCGGATTCTGGCCAGTCTAGCTTTCTGCAGGAGAGGAAAGGTGAATGTCTCATTAATGCCTATGAATTTTTTCTGGAGACAGTCAGTGACTACATTCTTGT